ATTTGTCCTTTTATGATTGACTTATTTCACTCAGCATAATGCCCTCCAGATTCATCCATGTTGTGAGGTAGTTTGCAGATTCATCATTGTTCTTTCTCGTTTTGTGTGGTATCCCTTTGTATGTGTGTACCATAATTTGTTTATCCGTTTATCTGTTGATGGGCACTTAGATTGTTTCCATCTTTTTGCTATTGTGAATAATGCTGCAATGAACATGGGTGTGCATATGTCCATTTGTGTGACGGCTGTTATTTCTCTAGGATATATTCCTAGGAGTGGGATTGCTGGATCATACAGGGTTTCTATTTCTAGCTTTTTAAGGAAGTGCCATACCATTTTCCAAAATGGTTGTACCATTTTACATTCCCACCAGCAGTGCATAAGAGTTCCAGTCTCCCCACAGCCTCTCCAGCATTTGTAATTTTCTGTTTTTTTTGATTACTGCCAGTAATCTCGGGGTGAGATGGTATCTCATTGTAGTTTTGATTTGCGTCTCTCTAATGGCTAATGACTGCGAGCATTTCCTCATGTGTCTGTTAGCTGCCTGAATGTCTTCTTTGGTGAAGTGTTTGTTCATATCCTTGGCCCATTTTTTAATTGGATTGTCTGTCTTTTTATCGTTGATGTGTTACACTTTTCTATAAATTTTAGAGATCAGACCCTTGTTGTAGCCAAACATTTTTTCCGAGTCTCTAGGGTTCTATTTTTACTCTTTTGGTGAAGTCTTTTGATGAGCATAAGTATTTAATTTTTAGGAGCTCCCAGTTATCTAGTTTCTTTTCTGGTGCTTGTACATTGTTAAGTTATGGTTTGTATTCTATTTACGTCATATATTAGGGCCCCTTGCATTGTCCCTATTTTTTCTTCCATGATCTTTATAGTTTTAGATTTTGTATTTAGGTCTTTGATCCATTTTGAATTAGTTTTTGTGTATGGTATGAGGTATGGGTCCTGTTTTCATTTTTTTACGGATGGACATACAGTTGTTAAAAGATTTATGTGAAGTTTCAAACATACACAAAAATAGAACAACACAGTGTACCCCCATATATCCACTACTCAGCTGATCAGATATTGCCACATTTGCTTTGTCTCTCTGTTTATTTATAAGGCCCAGACTTGTCATTATTTCCCTCATATGTCAGTTTGCATCTCTGAAAAGATACAGTCATTGTATAATGCAGTGACAGTATCATATCTAACAAAATTAACAGTAATTCCTTGATATTACCAATTACCCAGTCCATAATCCGATTTCCCTGGTTCTTAGGAATGCCTTTTTATAGTTGATTCGTTCAAATTAGGATCAGATCAGTTCTACACTTTACAGTTGGTTGGTCAAAGACCAATTTTTAAAGCAGATAGCTGTTAAGGAGACACATGGGGAAGCTCTTAATCAACGCTTTCAACAGTTTTGTCTTCAACTTTCCATAACATTCCTTTCCCTTTTATTCAAAACTAGTTTTTATTTTTTGGCAGGGAATGGGAAGCGGGGGGAGAACCACAAACTTCATGTTATAATTGAGAAATTAAAGGTTTATTATAGACGTAAACATGTGAAATACTAACCTAGCGATTTGCTAGATCATATAATTACAGTGGTCTAGAGAGGATGTTAGGAGCCCTGGTGGCACAGTGGTTAAAAGCTCAGCTGCTAACCAAAAGGTCAGCAGTTCAAGCCCACCAGCTGCTCTGTGGGAGAAAGAATTAGCAGTCTGCCTCTGAAAAGATTACAGCCTTGGAAACCCCATGGGGCAGTTCTACCCTGCCCTGTGGGGTTGCTATGAGTCGGCATTGACTTCACAGCAACAGGTTTAGAGAGGGTCTTAGCAATTCCCTTTCAATATCCTTGTGACACCTAATCCTATGGAATTGTCCCCAATCACTAAAAATGATAGTAGAATCATTTTGCATATGAGACACTGCTGTGTATGGCTGTCCTAGGATAATTCTACCTGGGGTGTCACCATTAAGTTCCTTGGTCAAATTTTGGAGTGGAAATGATAGGGCATGGTTATCAAAATACCTTTCCGTAGCTTTTGCTTGACCTTGGTTGAACCAAATTTACTACTTTCCAAGATAAGCTAGGAAGTTTATATTGTTTCTGTGGGACACGTTAGACTTTGTAATAAAATTTTCTAGATGCCTCTGAAGAGAAGTATACAGGTTGTTTTGTATTAAAGAGATTGTGGAGTGCTTTGAACATTGTAGAGTAATTAGGATTGATGCTTTTCCTTTTTGAAGTAAATTAGGGTAATATGAAAATCTTTATATGGAACTGGTATTGCAATTTGATTTAAAAAAATTCATTTGATCAGAAGTCCCCTTCTGGTTCTCAACCAGGCATTGTTGAAAAAAAAAAAGAATCCCATATCAGGGCCTGTGTGTACAGTTCTGCATGTTGTACACTGCATACCACAGAGTTGGGGCATTCACACGAGAGGCGTCTTGTATATTCGGGTAGTTTAGGGCAGTAAAGTGTCTTAAGAAGAGCATCTGTTTCTGTTTTCACAAAGGCTTCATAGGGAATGGCAGTGGTACTGTGGCCTATGTTTCTGTTTCCATTTATAAATGAATATTTGTTGAAATAGTTAAATTAAGAAAATGTACAGTAATATTTCATTAATCTGGCAATCACTCACTTATTGTCAACCTCAATTATCTGGAACAGACTCTACATCCAAAAGAAAGTAAAAACAGGCCAATGAAGTAAAAATAAATTATACAAAGTCTAGGAATGTCTTAAGTATAACCAAAAACCAATTACCAGTTGCCATCGAGTTGATTCTGACTTGTGGTGACCCCAGGTGCGTTGGAGTAGGACTGTGCTCTGTAGGCTTTTCAGTGGCTGATTTTGGGGAAGTAGATTGCCAGGCCTTTCTTCCATCGCATCTCTAGGTGGACTTGAACCTCCAAACTTTTGGTTAGCAGCTGAGCACATTGACCATTTGCACCACCCAGGGACTTTTTTTTTGTGGTAAATATATAGCAGAATATTTGCCATTTCAACAGCCTTCATATGTTCAGTGACATTACATACATTCATCATATTGTTCAACCATCACCATTAACTGCTCTGAATTTTTGCATCCCAGGGACTCCATTTTATGTAGAGAAGAGCCTATTTGTTTATTTCTTTGGATTTTATTTATTTATTTTTATTATTATTTTTTATTGTACTTTAGATGAAGGTTTATAGAACAAATAGTTTCTCATTAAACAGTACACATAATTGTTTTATGACATTGGTTAACAGCCCCACGACATATCAACACTGTCCCTTCTTAACCATGGGTTCCCTATTACCAGCTTTCCTGTCCCCTCCTGCCTTCTAGTCCTTGTCCCTGGACTGTCGTGCCCCATTAGTCTCATTTTGTTTTGTGGGGCTGTCTAATCTTTGGCTGAAGGGTGAACCTTGGGAGTGACTTCATTACGAGCTGAAAGGGTGTCTGGGGGCCATACTCTGTCAGACCAGTAAGCCTGGTCTTTTTTTGTGAGTTAGAATTTTGTTCGACATTTTTCTCCAGCTCTGTCCAGGACCCTCTGTTGTGATCCCTGTCAGAGCAGTCAGTGGTGGTAGCTAGGCACCATCTAGTTGTCCTGGACTCAGTCTGGTGGAGGCCGTGGTAGTTGTGGTCCATTAGTCCTTTGGAGTAATCTTTTCTTGTATCTTGTTCTCTTCATTCTCCCTTGCTCCCGAAGGGGTGAGACCAGTGGAGTATCTTAGATGGCTGCTCACAGGCTTTTAAGACCCCAGACACTACTCA